GGGTTAGTTATCATGGGAGTGGGTTAGTTATCATGGGAGTGGGTTAGTTATCTTGGGAGTGGGTTAGTCATCTTGGGAGTGGGTTAGTTATCATGGGAGTGGGCTCATTATCATGGGAGTGGGTTAGTTATCTTGGGAGTGGGTTATCATGGCAGTGGGTTAGTTATGGGTGTGGGTTAATTATCTTTGGAGTGGGTTAGTTATCATGAGAGTGGGTTAGTTATCTTGGGAGTGGATTAGTTATCTTGGGAGTGGGTTCCTGATAAAAGACTGGGTTCAGTGCACACTCTCTTGCCCTTCTGCCTTCTTCCATGGGGTGTCACACGAAGAAGGCTCTCCCTAGATCCTGGCACTTTGCTATTGGACTTCCAGCCTCCAGAACTATGAGCCGAATAAACTTCCATTGTTTACAAATTACCCAGTCTCAGGTACTCTGTGATAACAGCACAAAATGGACTAAGACATCACCTAATGTACTTTATTTATTTATTAAGACGAAGTCTGGCTCTGTCCCCCAGGCTGGAGTGCAGTGGCACGATCTTGGCTCACTGCAACCTCCGCCTCCTGAATTCAAGCAATTCTCCTGCCTCAGCTTCCTGAGTAGCTGGGATCACAGACACACGCCACCATGCTGGGCTAATTTTTGTATTTTTAGTAGAGACAAGGTTTCACCATGTTGGCCAGGCTGGTCTCGAACTCCTGACCTCAAATGATCTGCCCACCTCGGTCTCCCAAAGTGCTGGGATTACAGGCATCAGCCACTGCACCCGGCCACTAATGTACTTTAACAAACACAACAAAAAATAGATATAGTCTTGCCATGTTATCCAGGCTCGAATGCAGTGACTACTCATGGGTGCAATCATAACTCACTGCAGCCTCGAACTCCTGGGCTCAAATGATCCTCCTGCCTCAGCCTCCCAAGTAGGTGGGACTACAGGTGTGTGCTAACACACCCAGCTACCTAATATGCTTTTGCTGTCTTTGATCCCATGCAGGATCCCGCAGGACATGGATTCATCATCTTTCCTCAGGCTGCTCCTGGCTGTGAGAGTTTCTTAGACTTTCCTTGTGTTTGATGACCTGGACAGTTTAAGGAGGATTGGTCAGGAATTTTGTAGATGTCCCTTGATTGCAATGTCTGATGTTTTTCTCAGAGTTAGACTGAGGTTTTGTGGAGGAAGATTGCAGAAGTAAGGGCCCTTCTCATCCCATCTTACAAGGCGATATGCCATCAACATGACTTCTTACTGCTGGTGTTGACCTTGGTCATCTGGCTGAGTTGTGCTTGTCAGTTTCTCCACTGCAGTGCTTCCCTTCCCATTCTGTATGTACAATTCAATGGAAGTCAGAACCACCTTTGTCTATTAAAATTTTTTTCTTTTTTTTTTCTTTTTTTTTTAGATAGAGTCTTGCTCTATCACCCAGGCTGGAATGCAGTGGCTTGATCTCAGCTCACTGCAACCTCCACCTCCCAGGTTCAAGCGATTCTCCTGCCTCAGCCTCCCGAATAGCTGGGACTATAGGTGCGTGCCACCACCCCCGGCTAATTTTTGTATTTTTAGTAGAGACAGGGTTTCACCGTGTTGGGCCAGGCTGGTCTTGATCTCCTGACCTCGTGATTCACCCACCTCAGCCTCCTAAAGTGCTGCGGGCATGAGCCACCATGCCCAGCCTATACCGTGCCCGGCCTATATAGGCAGGAGAATCGCTTGAACCCTGGAGGTGGAGGTTGCAGTGAGCTGAGATCTCACCACTGCAGTCCAGCCTGGGTGATAGAGCGATACTCTGTCTCAATAAATAAATAAAATTTTTATCTATATAAAACACCATGAAAAATTAATATTATTCTATGCAGCCAATAGTTACTTAGATTTACCCACATATTTAAACATTTACTATCTTAGCCATTTTGAGGTCACATGAAGTACATTCTCATTGCTGGATGCTGATATAGTTTGGATGTTGTCCTCTTCAAATCTGAGATTGAAATTTGATCCCCAGTGTTGGAGGTGGGGCCTGGTGGGAGGTGTTTGTATCATGAGGGTGGACCCTTCATGAACGGTTTGGTGCATAACAGTGAGTTCTACCTTTATTAGTTCCCGTGAAAGCTGGTTGTTAAAGACAGCCTGGCACCTCCTTTCCCCACTCCTCCCTCCTTCCTCTCTCCATGGGATGCCTGCTCCCTTTCCCCTTCTGCTATGAATGGAAGCTTCCTGAGGCCTCACCAGAAGCAGATGCTGGTGCCACGCTTCTTTGTAAGAGTCTGAATAACTCTGAGCCAAATAACCATCTTTTCTTTTCTTTTTGAGATGGAGTTTCACTCTTGTTGCCCAGGCTGGCATGCAATGGCATGATCTCGGCTTACCGCAACCTCTGCCTTCCGGGTTCAAGTGATTCTCCTGCCTCAGCCTCCCGAGTAGCCAGGATTACAGGCATGCACTGCCAAGTCTGGCTAATTTTGTATGTTTAGTAGAGACAGGGTTTCTCCATGTTGGTCAGACTGGTCTCGAACTCCTGACCTCAGGTGATCTACCTGCCTCAGTCTCCCAAAGTGCTGAGATTACAGGTGTGAGCCACCGCGCCTGGCTACCATCTTTTCTTTATAAATTGTCCAACCTCCGGTATTCTTTTCTAGCAATGCAGCAAATTAAGACAGGTACCAGCCCCACCACCCATCTCCAGAACTGTCTTGGGCAGGACCTGTGGTCACCTCCACTGGCCTTTGTCATCAGCACCTACACGGTGGGCCTTGGATTGATGTCACTCGCCCTTTAGATTCCCCTCTTGGAAGGACAGGTATCAACGGCCTGCCCCCCTCTCTGCTCAGGATCCTCCAGACAACTGGCCTCCAGGTCATCCCCCCAAGGCTGACCTCTGGCCACCTGGTGTCCTGCTGTGCCCCTAGATTCCTCCTCTGTGGTCAGATGGTTTTCACTTCTCTGGCCTGAGTCAGGGGCTGGTGGGTGGGGCAGTGGCTCGCACTGGGTTCACCTGTTAGAGTGCAGGGGTAGGGGTAGCTCCCCAAAAGGAGGGGCAACAACGATGGACACACAGCAAAGCTGTGGGCGTGTCTGCCACAGGCCAGTGTCCCTGGATGCCTTGGGTGGGGTGGGGCTGAGGCAGGCAGCCTGGCAGGTCAGAATTTCTGAGGCCCTGGCCCTGGGCTTCTGTCCCTAGAGATGCAGTGAGCACAGGCCTTCCTAGAAGGGGGGCTAGCCCACCAGAAGCCCAGACCTGGCCCCTGCCACCAGCCTGTCCTTTCTCAGCCCCTAGATCCAGCCACATCCCCACACATGAGTGACCCTGGTGACCAGCAAGGCTAGCACCATCCTTCATCTCCCTCCTCTCGCCCGGCCCAGCCTAGAGGAGAAGTGTGGTGTAAGCATAGCCGTGAACAGTCAGCTCCCCTGGGCTGAAGACACAGAAATGCCGCTCCAGGGCCCAGGCAGCCCTGGTCTGCCCCATGTGGCTTCCAGGGGCACAGCCCTCAGCACAGAAGGCTGTAGGTGTGGCCTGCAGCAGGGGGTGGAGGCTGGGAAGGGCTTGGGGGATCCAGGGGATGGGTTAAGGCCTGTTCAGAGCCAGCCTGCAACCACCTGCTCCGAGCCAGCCCTCGGGCCCTGCTCTGCATTAGGTTCAGTTGCCCTGTGTTTGCCTTTCTGGCCCCAACCCAGGTAGGAGGATCCTGGCACACCTGCTGGCTGCAGGCTGCCCTTCCTCCTCCTCAGGTGAAGAGATGCCCACTCGGAGCTGTGCAGCTGGGAGCCAGGGTGAGCTGAGCCCCCACCTGCTGCCCCAGGGGGACCCTGCCACGTCTCTCTTAGCCTAACTTAGCTGTGCAACAACCTCCCACCTGCCCTGCACTGGCCGGCCCCTGGGCTCACTGGGGCCACCTTGTGGCTGCTCACGGCCACAGCCCCACAAGTTGGGGCCTGAGTTCCACACCGCCTGCATTTGTCGTCTGTGGACTTTTGTCCTCTGTGCCACCTTCTTGGGTGGCACCCGCCACACGCTGTGTTGAGCTACTTCTAAACCCCACGGGGGGCCAGACGCGCTGACTCATGCATGTAATCCCAGCACTTTGGGAGACTGAGGCAGGCGGATCACCTGAGGTGAGGAGTTCGAGACCAGCCTGGCCAACATGGTGAAACTCCGTCTCTACTAAAAATACAAAAAATTAGCCGGGCATAGTGGCGCATGCCTGTAATCCCAGCTACTCGGTAGACTGAGGCAGGAGAATCACTTGAACTTAGGGGGTGGGAGGTTGCAGTGAGCCGAGATCGTGCCACTGTACTCCAGCCTGGGCTACAGCACGAGACTCGGTCCCCCCCCCCCAAAAAAAAAACTAAACCCTATGGGGGAAGATACACGTTTTCGTTTATAGGCTCTTCCCGTTTCACATGAGGAGCATCGCAGGACACATCTGTTCCGACACGAAGGACACCAGGTCGCTGGGGGCAAAAAGAGGGATCCTGAGAAGCCGTCTGGGAAAGACAGAACCGAAAGACAGTGACAGCAGTAACGATGGCTCACAACTCCTGTGTGCCGGGCACCATTCTGGGCACTTTATATGAACCCGTGAAGAGAGTGGCTGTCAGCATGAGAGGAGCTCTGGGGACACGGGATGGCTTGCAATGGGGCTCCTTCCTCTACCTCCCCACAAAGCCTTTGGTAGACCCCACGGCCTCATATGCCTTCAGATGAGTTTGTGTGGAAGTGGAGTGTGGGGCATGCAGGCCTGAGAGCCGGGGCAAGGCCTGTCCCCTTGGGGTCACTTCACCCTCACAGGGATACTGGAGCAGGCCTGGGATCCCCCCATCACGTGGAGGGAATAACCAGGGCTCCCAGAGCTGGAGCACAGTGCCCAGGCTGTGGCCGCAGCATGACCCAGGCCCTCTGGGGGCGTTTCTCCACCCGCCATGGCCCTCCCAGCCCCCCTTCCTTTCCAAGGCCGGCCCAAAGCCCCAGGCCTCTCAAGTCTCCTACCTCCCCAGTCCCCCTAAGGTCCCAAAGATTTCCCAAGGTCCCTTAGGCCTCTGGAGGTCCCCCAAGGCTCCCCAGGCCCCCAAGGCCCAAAGATCCTCCAGAGACCCCTCAAAGCCTTCCCAGGCCCCTCAACGATCCCAAGGCCCCCCATGCCCCTTAGGCCTTCCTAAAGCCCCACAAGGTCTCCTAGGTCCTCTAAATTCCCAAGACTCCCCAAGACCCTAGGTGGCCCTCAAGACCCCCAGACCTCCCTGCATCCTCAGCCCTCCAGGAGACCCTGTCAGCAGCTGCCTCTTCTGGGATGGTCAGGCTGAAGTCCCCAGGGGTGAATCAACCTGTTCAGCTCCTTGCTTCCTGACATCAGCTATTGGTCCTGGGCTGACCTATGGTATGGTGTCTTGGGATCACATGACCACCAGGCATTGTCACATGGTGTCAAACATGGCTGCCTACAGCACCACCATAGGAGAGATGGAAGTGAGTTCTTCTGCAGCACCCCAGAGCCGGCCTGCAGTCAGGGAGGTCTCCCCAGAGGCGTCCACGAAGCTGCCTGCCAACCTGGGTGCCCCAGGCATGGGCCCCTGTAAGCCTACCCTAGGAGGAAAACAGTTTGTGTGACACAGGGGGCCGAAGCTGGGTCTGAATCTTTTTTTTTTTTTTTTGAGACAGAGTCTCGCTCTGTCACCCAGGCTGGAGTGCAGTGGTGCAATCTCACCTCACTGCAACCTCCGCCTCCCGGGTTCAAGCGATTCTCCTGCCTCAGCCTTCCTAATAGCTGGGATTACAGGTGTGCAGCATCACACCTGGCTAATTTTCGTATTTTTAGTAGAGATGGGGTTTCTCCATATTGGGCAGGCTGGTCTCGAACTCCTGACCTCAGGTGATTCACCCACCTCAGCCTCTCAAAGTGCTGGGATTACAAGTGTGAGCCACCGTGCCTGGCTGGGTTTGAGTCTTTAACACTTCCCCTCTGCTCCTGGAGCCCCTCCCATAGCCAGCCCTTGCTCACCAGCGGGGGAACCAGCAGCCCCTTCCTCACCCCTACATACCCCTCCTGGGGGTTGGGGTCTCTCTCAGTAGTACCAGTGCCATGACGCATCCCTCGTCCTCTCTGCTCCTTTCCCTCATCTGGAGGCCTAGGCCCAGTCATCCAGCCAGGCTCCACCCAGCTCCTCTCTCTGCACACAAAGACTGACCTCATCAAGCTGCACTCCTGAAACACACCAACAAACCAGAAACTCAGCCTCCCCTTTGCCCACAGGATGCCCACGGGCGAAACTGTCACCAAGAGGAGGAAGGAGGGGCCCAAACCGGCTCTGTCTCTGTGGAGAAAGAGCCTGCCTGGGGCTGGACCCTGGTTGTGTGGCTTCAGGTATGAGTCCCTTCCCCTTCTTGGGCCCCAGTCCCCTCACTGCACACCTAGGGTGATGGCATGTCATGGCCCAGGGTTAAGAGCACAGACTGGAGAGGGACTCCCTGGGCTTGACTTCTGGCTCTGCTGCACACTGGCTGTGCGACTCTGAACAAGTAACCTAGCCTTTCTGTACCTGAATTTTCTTGTCTGTTAACAGGGATCAAACAGAATATACCATTGAGGTCGTTAAGAAGAGTCAGTAAATTAATGTTTATAAAGTATTTATTATTATTATTATTATTTTTACATAGAGTCTCACTCTGTCACCCAGACTGGAGTGCAGTGGTGCAATCTTGGCTCACTGCAACCTCTGCTTCTCGGATTCAAGTTGAATCTCATGCCTCAGCCTACTGAGTAGCTGGGATTACGGGCCCTGCCACCACACCCGGCTAATTTTTTATGTTTTTGGTAGAGACAGGGTTTCACCATGTTGGCCAGGCTGATCTCAAACTCCTGACCTCAAGTCATCCACACGCCTTGCCCTCCCAAAGTGCTGGGATTAGAGGTATGAGCCACTGCGCCCAGCCAGGATTATTATTTTTTTTTTCTTGCTGATTTGAGTTCCTTGTAGATTCTGGGTATTAGTCCTTTGTCAGATGCATAGTTTGCAAATATTTTCTCCCATTCTCTAAGTTGTCTGTTTACTTCCGCTGTGTAGAAGCTTTCTAGTTTAAGTAGGTCCTGAATATTTACTTTTGTTTTCGTTACATTTGCCTTTGGAGCCTTCGTCATAAATATTTAGCCTAGGCCAATGTTCGTAAGAGTTTTTCCTAGCGTTCCTTCTAGAATTTTTATGATTTCAGGACTTAGATTTAAGTATTTAACCCATTATGAGTTAATTTTTGTATATGGTGAGAAATAGGGATCCAGTTCCATTCTTCTTCATGTGGCTATCCAATTTTCCCAGCACCATTTATTGAATAGAATGTCATTTCCCCAGTTTATGTTTTTGTATACTTTGTGGAAGATCAGTTGGCTGTAAGTATTTGGCTTTATTTCTGGATTCTCTATTCTCTTCTATTGGTCTGTATATCTACCTCGATGCCAGTGCATGATACCAGTAGACACTTCCTTGATACTGTCTTGATTACTACATCCTTATAGTATAATTTGAAGTTGGGTAATATGATGCCTCCAGATTTGTTTTTTGCTTAGGATTGCTTTGGCTATTCAGGTTCTTTTTTGATGCCATATGAATTTTAAGATTGCTTTTTCTAATTCTGTGAAGAATGACGTTGGTATTTTGGTTGGAGTTGCGGTGACTCTGTAGATTGCTTTGGGTGGTATGGTCACTTTCAAAATATTGACTGTTCTAATCCGTGAACATGGGATGTATTTCAATGTGTTTTTGTCATCTATGATTTCTTTAAGCAGTGTTTTATAGTTCTCTTTGTGGAGATCTCTCACCTCCTTGATTAAGTATATTCCTAAGCATTTTAATTTTTGTGTCTAGGTACTGTAAAAGGGATTGAGTTCAAACTCCTGACCTCAGATGATCCATCCGCCTCGGCCTCCCAAAACACTGGGATTACAGGCATGGACCAACCTAGTGAAACTCCATCTCTACTAACAATACAAAAATTAGCCAGGCATGGTGGCGGGTGCCTGTAATCCCAGCTACTCAGGAGGCAGAGGCAGGAGAACCGCTGAACCTGGGAGGCAGAGGATGCAGTGAGCCGAGATCGTGCCATTGCACTCCAGCCTGGGCAACAAGAGTGAGACTCCACCTCAAAGAAAAAAAAAAAAGGGATTGAGTTCTTGTGATTCCCAGCTTGATCATTGTTGGTGTATGGCAATGCTACTGATTTGTATACATTGATTTTGTAACTTGAGACTTTACTGAATTTATTTATCAAATCTAGGAGTCTTTTGGAGATATATCGTTGGCAAACAGAGATAGTTTAACTTTCTCTTTTCCAATTTGGATGCCCCTTCTTTCTTTCTCTGGCCTGATTTCTCTGGGTAGGACTACCAGGCATTCCTGCCAGGTCCTCACTAGGCCCTGAGTAGACAGTGATAACCACAGGAAAATACAACATACCTACCAGTAACCACATCCCACGGCAGCCTGGGGTCCTGGTTCAAAGGGTTGTTAGAGGCAGAATAGAACATTTATGCCTTGGGTGATCAGAGAAGGGTTCTTGAAGGAGAGGGTATTTAAGCTGGGCATGGGAGCCTGGGCTGGTAGTGACAGAGGCACAGCACACAGAGACCCATGCAGCCCACTGATCAGCTGATTGATCTGCAAGAGACTGAACATGGGTGGGTGCCAAGTCAGCTGGCATCAAGAAGCTGAAATGACTTTACTATAGAGCCAAGAGCAGATTCTTGAGCCCACTTGGTTTGGTGCCCTGCACATTGCCCCTGCCTGGCAACATGACCTAGGGGTGGCCATGGCACTGGCCATGCTGGGGGCCAGGGAGGGACAGGATGGGCTGGTGACCTCCCGACACAACTCCTCTCACAAACCTCGGTGGATCCTGAGGTTGGAGGTCCTGACACCGACATGACTCATGAAATAAGACCCTTGGAGGCTCGCCTGTCCCACCCTATGCAGTGCTTCTGAGCTGTCCCCTCTTTAGGCCTCCTGTTCCTGCTAAACCCTGAGGCCCTCAGAAGCTGCTGCTGAGAGCTGACCTGGGAGCCCAGGGCCTGCCTGGGCAGAGACTGTGCCCAGGAGCCAGTGAGCTGCCCTGACTCCTGGGAAGGCAGCCAGCACCTGCACCAGCCTGCCTGGGCGCACCTCTTCCCTCCAGCCAACTCTGGTGCAGCTATCAAGACCCAGCCTGGTTATCACCTCCCATAAAAAGCCTCACTGACCCCTAGACTGGGCCAGGTCCTCTCATGGGGTCTCCAGCCTTGGGATTTCCCTCTGTTTCAGGGACAGAGAGCAAGGAATTACATGTAACAGAAAAAAAAAAAAGCTCAGACCAGCTCAAACAGAAAAGGAAATCTATTAACTTCTGTAACCATTATGTCCAGGGTATCTTCAGGAAACTTGGATCTAGGGCTCAAAGGGGGCCTTTCTTTATGTTGGTTCCATCTCATAGTGGTTCCAGACTAACATTCTCCCCTGTCAGCACCCCTGGGCGAACCAGAGATTTTCTCTGCCCAATGGTTCTAACAAAAGTTTCAGAACTGGACCTCACTGGCTGTGATTAACCTGGTCGAGGTCCCATGTCCATCCCTGAAGCGTGAAGGACTGGGGCTAGCTCTACCTGGGCCATGTGGCCTGAGAGCTGGGGAGGAGAAGTGGTATAGTTAGCAGTTGAAGGGGAAATGGAGTTGACCAGGCAGTAGCATGGCTGTCCACCTCACTGTGGCTGGCTCCCCACCAGACTGCCTACTCCTCAGGCAGGGACAGTGTTTAAGCCCCATGTGTGCCCCAGCATTGCCCTGCATAAGGTAGCACAGAGCAAGGGCTCTAGCAGAGCAGCTTTGGTTAGGTTCCTCAGGGCCTTACACACGCTCTTCCGTCTGCCTAGAACAGCCCTGCACTGCACCCCCACCATTGCCTCCACTCTAGGGATGGAGGATACCACCTCATCTAGGGATGTGGAATTCTAGGAATTCTGATTAGATGTACATTAGACTCACTCATTCTCTCCTCCCAGCCTTCTTACCTTTCTTTCATGTTTTCTCTCGTCTCATCTTTCTGTGTTGCATCCTAGGAAATTTCTTCATATCTGTGCTCTAATTCATTGATTCTCTCTTCAGCTGTTTAATTCAGTTTCAACATTTGTATTTTTTCACTTGTAAAAGTATATTTAGTTTGTTTTCAAATCTCTCTGGCCTTTTTTTCTCCAATAGACTCTTTTGCCTTTTTGATCACCTTCCTTATTCCATTAAATCTTCCTTAATTGGCTGGGCGCGGTGGCTCATGCCTGTAATCCCAGCACTTTGGGAGGCCGAGGCAGGCAGATCACCTGAGGCTGGGAGTTTGAGACCAGCCTGACCAACATGGAGAAACCCCAACTCTGCTAAAAATACAAAATTAGCTGGGAGTGGTGGTGCATGCCTGTAATCCCAGCTACTTGGGAGGCTGAGGCAGGTGAATCACTTGAACCTGGGAGGCAGAGGTTGCAGTGAGCCGAGATCGTGCCATTGCACTCCAGCCTGGGCAACGAGAGCGAAACTCTGTCTCATAAACAAACAAACAAAAACAAAAAACTTCCTTAATCTGCAGGCAGATTTAGCTGGAATTCCTTAGATGGATTAAGGAAGATGATCAAAAAGGAAAAAATTGATAGATGAATAGACTTCATCTATTTTTCTTTTCCCTCCCTCCCTCCCTCCCTTGCTAACTTTTTGTTTTTTTTGACAAGATCTTTCTTACTCTGCCTCCCAGGCTAGAGTGCAGTGGCACTATCACAGCTCACTGCCGACTAGACTTCCTGAGCTCAAGTGATCCTCCTACCTCAGCCTCCCGAGTAGCTGGGACTACACGCATGCTCCACCACATTCACTAGTTTTTGCACATTTTTGTAGAGATGGGGTTTTGCCATGTTGCCCAGGCTGGTTATGAACTCCTGGGCTCAAGCAATCTGCCCATGTCGGCCTCCCAAAGTGCTGGGATTACAGTTGTGGAGCCACCACGCCTGGCAGTTCATTTATTTATTTATTTATTTATTTATTTATTTATTTATTTTTATTTTGAGATGGAGTCTCACTCTGTCGCCCAGGCTGGAGTGCAGTGGTGCCATCTTGGCTCACTGCAAGCTCCACCTCCCAGGTTCATGCCATTCTCCTGCCTCAGCCTCCTGAGTACCTGGGACTATAGGCACCCACCACCATGCCTGGCTAATTTTTTGTATTTTTAGTAGAGATGGGGTTTCACTGTGTTAGCCAGGATGGTCTTGATCTCCTGACCTCGTGATCTGCCCGCCTCATGCTCCCAAAGTGCTGGGATTACAGGCTTGAGCCACCGCGCCCGGCTGGCAATTCATTTATTTCAAGCAGTTCTCAGAGGTCTAAATCTATTTGTTATTTCTATTGAGTCTCACCTTATGGTGACTTGTCTCCTTGGGTCTGATTGTGTGTGTGTGTGTGTGTGTGTGTGTGTGTGTGTGTGTGAGAGAGAGAGAGCGTTCGTATTTGGTTGTGCTTTTGTAGGAATCCTGAAGGCCTAAATTGGGATGCTTTCCTCCAGAAAGAATTTCTGATTGCTTCTACCAGTTTATCACTGACCAGAACCAATTTAATTTAATTTCTTGAGTGGGGATTTTCCTGTCTATGAGGATAGTATAAATTTAACTTCAGCATTGCAGGAGAGCAAATGGTTGCAAATCCTCCAGGGACATTATTATTGTTCTTAAATGTTTTCACCTGGAGCTCTGAAGCAGACACCCAGGTTTCCCAGAGGGATCCCTGTCCTGGCAGGCAGATTTGTTGGAAACACTCTCTCCTTAGAGGGGTAGCCACCTTTGAGGGTCTCAAGTCGGTGTAGGAATCTTAGGTTCACTCCCCCCACCCACCACTCTGCATTTGGCATTACCTAAGGAAAATGCTTGTTGCTCATCTCTGGTTCCAGATAGTTTGCTTTATTTGTTGTTTCTTTCTTTTGTGGAAGGAGGGCTTCCGTGTGGTCTTGGCAGTGCAATAATGTTATGTCTGTAGACATTTACTTGCAATCAGATAGCGGATGGCATTTTAGGGTATCTGGTCACTATGCTGCCAGAAGTCAAGTTGACTCAGCTCATTCTGGGAGTTACATCCTTGGCTGCCAACATGGCTCTCATCTTGCTCCAGGGTAGTAATTTGGAGAGAATCAGAGTGTACATTTTCTGGTTAGGCCACGGAATGGGGCCTGGCCCCTGCTGCTTACTCCTCAGCTCTCATGCCTGTTTCCAAGCTTCGGGGCCCTGCAGCAGTCCCCCTTCCTGGTGACCTCATAGGTTCCTCTGAGGGGAGCCAGTGAGATGCCGCGACTCAGTGCAGCTGGAATGTATAGCAGAAACAATGAAGGGGCACCTGTGTGTGTGTGTGTGTGTGTGTGTGTGTGTGTGTGCTGGGGTGCACTGGGGTGTGTTGAGGGTGTTGGTGGTGGGAAGAGCCCTAGAATTGTTCAAGCCGGTCATCTGGATTGGACGTTACCTAGAAAACTCCCAGATTTCCTCTCCATTTTAGGCATCACAGATACAACCTAATGGGATGCTTTGCACATGGCCAAAGTGAACAGAAACATCTGAGTGCAACAGAAAGCAACCCCACATGCCCTCGGAGACAGGCCTAAGCTCTGCTTATCCTGAGGGCTCTCCAGCCCTCACATCCTCCTCCTCTCCTCTCAGGCACATTCAGACCAATGCTGTCCACATTCACTCGTATCCCCAGTCCAACTTTGATACCTGTGTCCCTGGTTGGGGGATCTGTCTCCCTAGGAGATGCCGCCCCTCTGAAGGCAGCCCTGGCCTCGACCTCATTCACCCAGGAGTATTTATTGATCTTCCCTCTGTACCCGGCCCTCTGCTCAGTGCCACACAGTGGAAGGAGCTGGTCTTGGCCCTCTGGGGTCATCATTAGGGAGACAGTGATATAGGACAGTGACAGCTGTAATGCACAATGCAGTGGTTGTGGGAACAGAGGAGGAGCACCCTAGCCTGCCCAGAGGACGGGGAAGGTGTCAGAGGAGGCAGCATTTGAGCTGCAACTAGAACACCAAGTCACACATTGCCAAATGTACAAACTGGGGAAGGGGCAGGTGGGGGATGGGAGATGAGGCTGACTGGTGGGCAGGGCAGACCCGGAAAGGTCCAGAGATGAGGAGCTGCCCACGACCCTTCAAGAGGGGAGCAACCCTCTCAGATGTGTATTTGGAAGATAGATTACTGGGTTCTCTGAGACTGAACCCCACATCTCTGAAACCTTTATGGCTTCGTAAGAGGGAACTAAAGTATCATTCTGAAGCTGTTCTTCATGATACCCAGGGTGAGGGTATCTGGCTTAGATCAGTGAGAATCACCCCCATTTGCAAAGTGCAGTAGAGTTCACGTAAATGACTTGTACAAGAATCCTTGACTGGTAAGTGGAGTGCCTCAGCTACCAACTGCTGTGTAACAAACCACCCCACAACCTCATGCCTTGAAACAACACTTCATTATTATTTCTCAGGGTTCTGTGGGTTGGCTGGGCTCAGCTGGGCAGTTCTTCTGCTTGTGGTCTCTGATGCAATTGATGTCAGATGGCAGCAGAATGTCGAAGATGACTTATCGCTCACCTCTCTGCACCCTCAATGTCCTCTGGGTAGCCTCTCTCCATCAGGCTGGTCAGATTTCCTAGGTGGCAGCAGTCTCCTGAGAATGCAAAGGCTAAAGCTGCTGGGTCTTGTTAAGGCTCGCTCCGGCCTGGAACTGGTACAGTGGCACTTCACTGCATTCTGTTAGTTAATGTGAGGGTTAGGGCCGATCCAGATTCTGTGTGGGAGGGGACTAAACAAGGGTGGAAACACCAGGAGGCATGGTTCCTGGGGGCCATATTTGGAGATTGGCTGCCACACAGCGAACCTTGCCTTCAGGCTCTGTCTATGCATCTTAACCACTATGACTCTTCTCCTCTGGAGAGGCCGTAGCCACAGCTGGGGGTCTCTGTTTGAGTTACAGTGAGACCCTGCTTCTCTGATAACTGCTCCTGCAGTCACATTTTTAGTATGTGATGCTCAGAGCTAGTCCATGGGATGTCTGTATCAGTTATCTATTGCTGTCTAACAAAACTCCCCCAAATGTAATAGCTTCAAACACAACCATTTATTCTTTCTCATGAGCCTCCAGGCCCACTGGGTGGCTCTGCTGATCTGAGATGGGCTCACTTCTGGGGTCACTAAGGGTTGGCAACATGGCTCTGCTGTCTTAGCTGGGCTCACATTTCTGGGGCCTCAGCTGGGACGGCTGCTCTCGGCTCTATGTCGTCTCTCATCCTCTAGCACAGGGCTCCCGCAGGGCACAAGAGTACTTAAGGCCTAGGCTCAGAACTGGCATCACCTCCACCTCACTGTGTGGTCAAAACAAATCATAAGGCCATCTGCCAGATTGCAGGGGTGGCAAAATAGCTCCCACCTTCCCATGAGCTGAAATGTTACCTTGCAGAAGGCATGAAGGCAGGAAGGAGTGGAGCCATTTGTGCATCAGCTGCCATTGTGCCTGTGTCCATTTGAGAGGAGCCCTTCCCGGCAGCAGCCAGCCCACGCCAGGTAGCCAGGCTGGGTGAGCCAGGCCGGGCTGGGTTTCGGACCCAGTGCAGCACTCGGTGGTCACCTTTGTGTGTACTCTCATGACCCTGTCCGACCCTGATGGCTTGACCATATGGTTGCTTCACACAGACCAGGCCAGCTTGGGAACTGGGAATTAGAAACAAGATTCTCCTTCACCAGGAGCCGTTCATTTGAACTGGAGAGAGAGCTGAGCCCAGGAGCTCTGGCTGATGACAGGGTGCCTGGAGAAGCAGAGAAAGCAGCTCAGAGAGAGGAAGAAGAAGAAAGGCAGGGGCTGAGGGAGGCCATTTTGAGGGAGAGAGGGAGAAGGCTCCCCACGACCCCACGGGAGGACTGCCCTGGGTCCGGGGGGCTTCCAGGTGCTGGGCCCACCCTCGCCTGTCCTGGCCACGTAGCATTTCCTCAGCTCTGCCCGTCTAGTGGCATTATTGTTTTAAAATTGAGATGCTTCCTGGGCCATCAGCTCTGTAGAGAGCCACAAAGCTCCTTTTGGGTCCATGTCAGAATTCTGCTCCCCAGACGGAGATGGCCTCATGGGCTGCTCCAGCACCAGCCTGTGCAATGTGGTCTGTGTGGCCAGAGAGCTGGAGGCTGGGGGTTTGGCATTCCTGGGTCCCGGAAGCAGCTGGGAGACTGTCGGGGCCTGCAGGGGCATGGGAGCGGGGGTAGCAGATTGAGGGTCCAAGTTCCAGGGCAAGAGGCCAGGAGACCTATCCCTAGCCCCCCACCTGCCAATGCCAGTGGGAGCCAGGACAGCCGGAGATGGGTCCTGCAGGGGACAGCAGGCTGGAGGATGAGGAGGCAGAGACTCAGGCTGGAGGCCCTGAGAACCCCTGTCACCAGGCAGCCATATAAGCCACATTGTCCCCTCAAGCACCCAGAAACTGGAGGGATGGCAGTGGAGAAGGGGAGAAGGGGAGGGACCTGGGGTCTGATGTCATGGGCTGGCCTCGGTTTTTTTTTTTTTTTTTTAGACGGAGTCTCGCTCTGTTGTCCAGGCTAGAGTGCAATGGCGTGATCTTGGCTCACTGCAAACTCTGCCTCCCAGGTTCAAGTGATTCTCCTGCCTCAGCCTCTGAGTAGCTGGGATTACAGGCACCTGCCACCACACCTGGATAATTTTTGTATTTTTAGGAGAGACGGGGTTTCATCATGTTGACCAGGCTGGTCTCAAACGCCTGACCTTGTGATCCGCCCACCTCAGCCTCCCAAAGTGCTGGGATTATAGGCATGAGGCACTGTGCCCGGCTGGGCTGGCCTCATTTTGTGCCCACTGCCCAGCAGGAGGGGCTCAGGAGGACACTCAGAGGGTTACAGGCAACGCAGAGAAGCTACACCTTCTCTGGGCCTGTGGGGCATAGAGGGAGGTGGAGTTTTTTTGGACCCTGGAAGTGTGGGGTCCATCCCCCTCTTATTTCCCAGAAGAACCCCAATTTGTTACCATGTCCACACCCCATGCAAAAGTAGAGGGGAGATTCTGGTTTACACTAAAGCCAAATCTGTCCTGTTGGGCCATGGCCAGGGCATTCACCAAACACCCCCTCAGCAGCCCAGCTCCCAACACCAGGGATGTCTGGCCTCTCTCGGGGAGATCCCACATTCCCTGTAGTCCACCTCCCATCCAGAAGCTTCTGGAATCCCTCCCTCCTTTCCCAGGTCCGCCTTCCCCTCCGCCAGCCTCACCTCCAGTCTTCTCCTTGGAGATTCCGTCCCCACCTACAGGAGCCCACTCAGACGGACCCGGTGAGAAAGGCTGCCTGGCTCTGGCCTGTCCCATGAGCCAGAACCTGACGCATGGACTGGCCCCGACTGCCCTGCTCCACGGTGAAGGCAGGTAGGACAGGGTAGGCCTCCCCACCCCTCCCCTCTGGCCTTTGCCTCACTGGCCAGAGAAGAGCCCCTCGAAGGAGGGAACAGCGTGGGAGATGGGGAGAAAGCCCGGCCTGAAGGAGTGGGTGCTGGTGCCTGCCCCACTGCTCTAATTCCTGCTGCTGTCCCCACATTGATCATAAAAGGACACAGTCATATTCACCTGACTGGGGTGCGGCAGTGGGGGCCTCTTGGAGCCCCTTCTCCGTATGGGTTGGGGGACTTACCCGGCAGTATTGCCACAGTAAAGGAGCCGGGCGTCCACATTTACAGAGGCAGAAACAGAGATTCAACTCCCCTCATCACTGTGGGTGGGTGAGCAGGTCATAGTCAAAGGAGTGACTCGCAAATGTTGGAATTGCTGACTATGGGAAAGACAAGAACTCTCTTATCCCTGAGACTGGCGGCCTGGGGACAGTAGCCCCCTCCTCCACCAAAGAAGCTCCTGGATGGGACTTTGGGGTGACCCACCTCTTGGCTGTCCAGAGTCACTGTGGGTGGGTTCTGGTGCCCTGTGTGGTGTTCTGGGCAGACATCCTTTCAGGATGGAAAGCCGCCTTTTCCCGTGTCCTCCGTGGGCATCTGGTTCTGTGCTCAGCTGGTCTCCTCCCCAACCCCTGCTCCTCCCCAGCCACCCATGCTGTCAGATGCACGGCTGACCTTGTCCCTCCACAGCTGAAAATCCCCAGTGCCTGCAGTACGAAGGCCAGACCCCTTAACCCACCTCTGCCTACCTCTGGCCTCATCTCCCACCTGCCTCTCCACCCCTGCGATTTCACCCCTCAGTATTATCAAATTGCTTATAGTCCCAAACCCTCCCCTGCCACACAGACTCTGTTTGATTCCTCTAGGTCTTTGTATACGTTTTTCCCCTTGGCTAGAATTCCACATTCTTATCTGCCTGGTGAATCTTCAAAACCCAGTTACCCTGGACAGCTTTCACAGACAGCCCCCTTCACTGTCTGTCTAGAGTGAGCTGTCCCTTGGTTTTGCTCCACAGTACTTGACTGAGTATGTGTGTATGTCTGTCTCCCCAGCACAGCAGACGGGGCTGACCCAGGGCGGGCCACACATCTCAAAAATGAGGTGCCGAGTCCAGCACAGGGCTGGGCACAGGCAGGCCCCCAACAATGGAGCATGACCCAGATGAAATGAAGCAGCCTTCCCCCAGTCTTGGTGGCCCCAGGAAGCATCTCTGAAGTGTGGGGATTTGGGGGTCACAGTGGGTACCCTCAAAGGCCAGCCTTGGGAATGCTCCTGGCTTTCACTCAAACAAATCTCCCCCTTCTCCTGCCAGAACACCCTGGCCAGGAGTGACACTGACGGACCACTCACCCTCCTGCTGACTGTACAGCCCCGTCCTGGGCTCTGGCAGACCGTGAGCACTGCCTTCCCAGCAGAACCTGGCTTGACCCCAGCATGGCGGACATTGTGATATCAGCCCATGTAGAGACAGCCATCTCAGACCGCTGACCTCCGAAACCAGCAGACAATCAGCGTCTTGTTTAAGACTAAGTTGACTTTAAGATTAAGTTTGTGTGGCCTGGCGTGGTGGCTCATACCTGTAATCCCAGCACTTTGGGAGGCCAAGGTGGGTGGATCACCTGAGGTCAGGAGTTCAAGACCAGCCTGGCCAACATGGTGAAACCTCACCTCTGCTAAAAACACAAAAATTAGCCAGGCATGGTGGCATATGCCTGTAATCCCAGCTACTTGGGAGGCTGAGGCAGGAGAATCGCTTGAACCTGGGAGGTGAAGGTTGCAGTGAGCTGAGATCATGCCAGTGTATTCCAGCCTGGGTGAGAGAGTGAGACTGTCTCTAAAAAAAAAAAAAAGACTAAGTTTGTAGGATTTTATTACATCAACCAGAGGCGAAGACTGAGGCCCAGAGAGGAAAACAGACTTGCCCAAGCTCCACCAGGCCTCCTGACTCATCGTCCAGTGCTCCCTGCCTGTCCTGCCTGACCTCCTCACATGACAGGGACAGAGGCCCCAGCTCACATGTCCACTGCTGATTCTGCAGAGGCAAAAGGTTGGAAAGAGCAAGCCAAGTCCATTTCTCTGGGTGCGAGTGAGCGAATTCTGTGGTCAGAGAAGCCCGTGTGCCCTGAATCATGCAAAGGAACCAATGAACCAATTTTAGCAGAAGTTAGAACTTGCAGGAATCAAACGCTCTGCCAATAGCTCCTCCTTGTCCCCTGCGTCCCCCGAAGCAGGTGGCAGTGTGCCACGATGTCAAACTGGATTTAGAGTTTGTTAGCTTCGTGAGAACCCAGAACACACACCGCCTGCATCCCTGAGGCCAGCTGGGTGGCTCTGGCCTATTTATAGTGTCCTCATCCATCTTCTTTTCTTTTGATCAGGGCAGGACCTGATCTCCTCGGAGGAGCTGCAAATCTCGGCATGCTCGACAAATTCCAGCAGGGCATGAATCATGGGCTCCTGCCTCATGAGGGCCCCCCACTGCCAATGGGACTGGTGGAGCTCCGGGGCTCGCCTGCTGCCCAGATTGGAGCCAGAGCCAGGCCTGACGGAGTCCTCCCTGCACATTCCAGAGGAGCTCAAACTAGCTTTCCCTCCGGGATCTCACCTGACACTGCAAGGCAGTGCCCCATGAAGGGAGGGTTTCCTTCGCTTGCCTTTTTGCCCTGGCAAGACTGGCAACCAGGAGTCCCTGAGCACTGGTGCCTCCTCAGGGCTGGCACCTCTTTCTGGGAAGCCACACGGGTCTTGGACAGCTGTGCCCTTCCTGCTCCCCTCCAGCTGCCAGAGGGCCAGAGTTCCCATGTGCCCTGGAATGTGGGACTCTCTTTGAGATGTCCACTTGGGGACCTGTCCTCAGGCCCTGGGGTCAGCACACAGGTGGCCAGTTTCTTTGGGCTCAGGGTCAGGCTTCCACTGGTGGGTAGAGGCAGCCCTTTGTCCCATGTCCTGCCCCAGCGTTCCTGAGTAGCGGGCTCCCTCCCCCATCCTCTTGGCAGCTGTCCCTCCCTGCTCCCTCCCGGTGACCACAGCCAAGCCAAGAGGCCTGTGCTGTGTTCCCCACACGTCCACATAGAGCGGCTGGACACCGGTGTTGAGTGCTGTGGAGGTGGCTGGGGGGAGTGGACATTCCACTGTAATGATGGCAAAAATAGCCATGATCTTTCAGCCACTGCTGAAACTGCTGGAGCCGAGCCCTTCCCAGGTATAATTTGCCCTCCCCGATGGTGCCTTTGTCTCCCAGATGTGCAGATGTGGAAGCCAAGGTCCTAGGGATCAGGGGAACCTCATGAGGGAGGAGGCAGGGGGCCAGGACTGGCTTCTGAGCTCGGCAATCCCAGTGTTACGGTCTGTCTTTTAATGTTTAAAAAGAAGATATGATGATATAATTAGGATGCCGAAATCCCAGCACTTTGGGAGGCCAAGGCGGGCAGATCACTTGAGGTCAGGAGTTTGAGACCAGCCTGGCCAACATGGTGAAATCCCGTCTCTACTAAAAATACGATAAAATTAGCCGGGTGTGATCTCAGCTACTCAGGAGGCTGAGGCAGGAGGATCGCTTGAACCGGGGAGGCAGAGGTTGCTGCACTCCAGCCTGGGTGACACAGCAAAATCTCAAAAAACAAAACAAAACAATAATAATAATTAGGATGCTGACACTGTCTCTACCTTTTCTGGGTCTCTCCCATTCCTGTAGAATCGTTCTTGCCCACAATCACCTGCCCATCTCTCTTGCACCCCAGAAAAGTTTTGCAAGTTGAGGAAGAGAAAAAAATAATGTGATACGTACTGTCTGTATTCTCCCATGACAATAATCTCTCTATGGGGGAGGGGGTCCATGTGTTCGTGTCCACCATGGTGTTGAATGAATATTGAACAAATGGCTGAATGTGCATGAAGGAAAGGAGATGGTGGGTGGTTCAAGTATGGTTCTTGCTTCCCCATTCCAGGCAGGACATAAGCGGGGGGCCAGGGAGGACATGGCCAGGCTGGAAGAGTGTCATCAACCTGTGGCTGCTGGGGTGAGTGGCCCTCCTGTCCAGCCACAGCATCAGGGGGTGGGTGAAGGTGTTCGGAGGGGACAGAAAAGCAGGGGCCACTGGCTTCCCCCACCCCCCACTCTGCCAATCCTACCTCAGGGCAGTTTTTTGTTTTTTGTTTTTTTTTTGAGACAGAATCTCGCTCTGTCACTCAGGCTGGAGTGCAGTGGCTTGATCTTGGCTCACTGAAACCTCCGCCTCCCTGATTCAAGCAATTCTCTTGCCTCGGCTTCCTGAGTAGCAGGACTACAGGTGTGCACCACCATGCCCAGCTCATTTTTGTATTTTTAGTAGAGATGGGGGTTTCACTGTGGTGGCCAGGTTGGTCTCGAACTCCTGACCTCAGGTGATCCACCTACCTTGGTCTCCCAGAGTGCTGGAATTATGGGCATGAACCACCACACCCGGCCCTCAGGGTAACTTTAGTGCTCCTCCCTATATCCAGCAGGGGCAGAGGAAAGTCCCCAGGGAAAGTCCTCTATGAGCCATTGATGACAGCATGGTTAGTAGTAGTTACAATGCCAAAATATAAAAAATAAAATAAAAAGGTTTTGTGTGCAATTTTGCAGAGGGAATGTCTTGCCCTTTTTTTTTCCACTCAAAAGGAAGGGAGGTTATTCAAAATAGTCAAAAAGTGGGAACAGTCCAAATCCCCACTGGCTGGTGCGTAGATAAACAAACTGTAGCGTATCCATAATGTTACTCAGCCTTCAAAAGAAGGAAGCACTAATTTATTTTATTTTATTTTATTTTATTTTATTTTATTTTATTTTATTTTTTTTTTGAGACGGAGTCTCGCTCTGTCGCCCAGGCTGGAGTGCAGTGGCCGGATCTCAGCTCACTGCAAGCTCCGCCTCCCGGGTTCACGCCATTCTCCTGCCTCAGCCTCCCCAGTAGCTGGGACTACAGGCGCCCGCCACTGCGCCCGGCTAGTTTTTTTTTCTATTTTTTAGTAGAGACGGGGTTTCACCATGGTCTCGATCTCCTGACCTTGTGATCTGCCCGCCTCGGCCTCCCAAAGTGCTGGGATTACAGGCGTGAGCCACCGCGCCCGGCCGGAAGCACTAATTTATGCTCCAATGTGCAGGAACCATGAAACGCGGTGCTAAGAAAGAAGCCAGGCGCAAGAGGCCACATACTGTGTGATTCCACGGACACAAACCACCCAGGACAGGCAAATCCACAGAGTCAGGAAGCCAGTTATCAGTTGCTGGGGGCTGGCAGGGGATTGATGATGACTTTGGGGCTTCTTTTTGGGGTGATTCAATGTTCTAGAATTAGATAGTGGTGAGGACTGCACAACTCTGTGAATATACTAAAAGCATTGCATTGTACACTTTAAAGTGGGTAATTTTTAAGGTATGTGAAGTGTGTCTCATTTTTTTTTTCTTTTTAAATTTATTTTTTGGGCCAGGTGCAGTGGCTCATGCCTGTAATCCCAGCACTTTGGGAGGTCAAGGCGGGAGGATCACGAGGTCAAGAGATTGAGACCATCCTAGCCAACATGGTGAAACCCCGTCTCGACTAAAAATACAAAAATGAGCTGGGCACGGTGGTGCACGCTTGTAGTCCCAGTCACTCAGGAGGCTGAGGCAGGAGAATCGCTTGAACCTGGGAGGTGGAGGTTGCAGTGAGCTGAGATTGCGCCATTGCACTCCAGCCTGGGGACGGAGTGAGACTACGTCTCAAAAAAAAAAAAAAATTAAAAAAAAAATAAATAAATAAATAAAAATTTTTTTTTTAGAGACGGTTTCATTATGTTACCCAGGCTGGTCCCGAACTCCCGGGCTCAAGTGATCCACCTGCCTTGGCCTCCCAAAGTGTTGGGATTGCAGGCATGTGCCACCGTACCTGGCCCTCGCATCTTATTTTTATTTTTATTTGTTTTGAGACGGAGTCTTGCTTTGTCACCTAGGCTGGAGTGCAGAGGCACGATCTCGGCTCACTGCAAGCTCTGCCTCCCAGGTTCACGCCATTCTCCTGTCTCAGCCTCCCAAGAAGCTAGGACTACAGGCACCCGCCACCACGCCCGGCTAATTTTTTTGTATTTTTAGTAGACACAGCATTTCACCATGTTAGCCAGGATGGTCTCGATCTCCTGACCTCGTGATCCACCCGTCTCGGCCTCCCAAAGTACTGGGATTATAGGCGTGAGCCACGGCGCCCAGCCTCATCTCATTTTTAAAAGAAGGCCAAGAATGGTGGCACGTGCCTGTAATCCCAGCTACAAGGAAGGCTAAGGCAGGAGAATCGCTTGAACCTGGGAAGCAGAGGTTACAGGGAAATGTAATAGTTTAACTTAAGAACTTAAAGGTAGGTCACTCAGACTTCTCTTAGAGATGGAGATGGCACACAAAAATGCAGGTTTTGCCGGTCACAGGGGCTCATGCCTGTAATCCTAGCGCTTTGGGAGGCTGAGGCGGGTGGATCACCTGAGGTCAGGAGTTTGAGACTGGCCTGACCAACATGGAGAAACACTGTCTCTACTAAAAATACAAAAAATTAGCTGGGTGGGATGGGGCATGCCTGTAATCTCAACTACTCAGGAGGCTGAGGCAGGAGAATCGCTTGAACCTGAGGTTGGAGGTTGCG